TCTATGCGAATTTGCTCGAGAATACGTAGCTGAAGTACGGCCCTAGCATTTTGGGACGACTCAAAAGCCACACGTGGCCAAAAAACACTATAAAACCCAAACCCAATTGAAGGCTTTCAGACACGCCCTCAACCTTTGAAGCCATACAGTCATAGACACCCTACACCCCAAAGGGCCCCAAAGCCTTTGGCATGGCGCCTCATTTAGCTCCTCGCACTGGATGGTGGTTGCCGGCCGGCCGCCCTGCACCTCGTCACGGGTTAAGGGGTTCCGTAAACCCTATAGAAAAACAAAAACACAAATAAGACGTACATACATACATACATACATACATACATACATACATACATACATACATACATACATACATACATACATACATACATACATACATACATACATACATACAGACATACATACATACATACATACATACATACATACATACATACATACATACATACATACATACATACATACATACAACATACATACATACAGACACACACACATACATACAGACATACATACATACATATATATATATATATATGTATATATGAGATATATATATATATATTCATAAATGTAAAAATTGACAAAAGTAGTAAATCCCCAAACCCCAAAAGAAAGGCGTTGATCAATAAACTTGAAACCCTTGAAAGCCGTGAGCCTGAACCAATAAGATTCATCCATGAGCCACATAAAACATCAGAAGCCCAAGGCACCGAATCCAGCGGCTCTCTGCTAACAGCATGGCCGAAATCCACATGCACGAGGCGCCCGTCCACCTTCACACACTCACATCTCACTGTTTGAGGTTTAGGTCCTGATGCTTCACGAGGGCGAACATGGAAGAGCCCTCTCCGTCGCGGGATACCCTGTCAACAGACGTGCCCCCTCGCCCGCGCAAAATTAAGGAACCGAGTTTCTTGCAACCCACCACCCTCGACCCAAAACCCCTAAACCTCAAGTGGGGCTCCCGAGGCGCTGTATCCATGAAGTTCTCATCTCAGGATTAGAGGGTCCCAAAGCTTTCTGGAGATCCGCAAGTGGGTTCCTAAACCCCTTTTACCCCAATGCCAAACTACTAAACCCTACGCCGTGAACCCCGTAGCCTGAAAGCCCAAACCTCAAGCCCCAAGCCTTGAGACCCCCCGATGGCCCCACGCCTGAAGCCCCTAAACCCCTAAACCCCTCAACCCCTGAGGGTCCTAAGCTCCCCAAGCCGCCCCTAAACCCCTTAACCCTAAAGCCACAAGATCCCTGAAACCCCTACAAAACCTGAAGCTCGAACCCTTTCCCGGGCTTGGCCGGCCTGGAGCTCCCCGCCGGGGTCTGTTCAGGAGAAGGGATTACAGTGGTCACAGGTCACTGGGCAGCATGGCCAAAAATCACCGATATTTACACACAGAGACAGAGGCAGAGGGACAGAGACAGAGACAGAGGCACAGACACAGACAGAGACAGAGAAAGAGACAGAGGCAGAGACAGAGCCAGAGGCAGAGGCAGAGACAGAGACACAGAGAGAGAGAAAGAGAGAGAGAGAGAGAGAGAGAGTCTCACAAAGAGAGAGAGAGAGAAGGAGAAGGAGACTTTGGTTCCCTTAGGGTGAGGCTAACTATCGCAAAAAAAATGCCAGAATCGGTTATCAGTCCTGTCTTCGTGCTCCTGCATACTTACGACTTCATTCAGAAGTGAGGCCGCGGGTTCGGAAGAAGCTTCCCGACTGTTTTCGAATGTGCAGGATGTGACCAACATCGCTGCGCGCGTGTTCAGGAAGTGTTCGCCAGCGTCCACGAAGCGTTCACAAGCGTCCGCAAGACTCGCACCATTGTGGAATGGTGTTGGCGTTTGTAGTCTTGTAATTGCAGAGTCGGTGTGTGAAGATGCAAACAATCGTAGGCATGGGCACTCACACTGCTTGAGTGTCTAATGATGTGCGCAACCACACTGCAACAGCGATCTGGCATCGAGGACCAGTCGCAAGGTCGGGCTGGAAGAGGAGATGACTCCGAGGTGCACGGTCTTCTGCGCTAAACCGCTAAGCATGACTCCACAGGACCGCGTCTGGAACTCACTTTTGGGATCTTTACGGATCGTTCAGAATTTTCTTGTGACAACGGCATGTATCTTGCTGCACTTTCGGGTCGGATGGAAGCAACAGGTTGTGAGTCCACGAAAGGAGCTTGAGAAGGGAGAGGTTCCTTAAACTCAAGTTTGAAAAGGGTGAAGGGCGAGGGGACTGGGGGAGGAGTGATCGACGAATGTCGCGATTCTTCGGACCATCTTTCCTGGAAACTTTAGCACGCATACAAACACACATCCGAACATAACCCCTGCAACCCGCAATGGTCAACCGCGGATTCGGAAACTGAGAATGCGCGGATTCCGAAACTTGGGAGAATGCGATTCGGCAAACTTGAAAACGTGGCTCCGGTAAACTGAAAGAAGCTGCTTGAATTGGGCTTGGAGAATGTCATCACCCCCCCCGAGGGACAGCGAAAGGAAACAAGAATCGCCCACTTTCCTGAATCTCGCAGTTTCCTGAGTGGGGCAGTCTCTTACGGGCTGGTAGTCCGAGCGCTGCAATCCTCCCATCATCCGAATCCTTGCATAACCTGATCCGCCTCTGCCAATCATTAGGACATTTGCATGGATGATTCACCTGCCAAGCCAATACCCCAAGCCGCGAATGCGGAACCCTGAATCGTCAGCCCATGTCAGCCCCCCCAGGCCTTCCAAACCCCAGCTCCACCACATGGCGCTGAGGTTTTGGGTTTAGGGTCAGGGTTTAGGGTTTGGAGATTTACGGTTAAAGGTTTAGGGGTTAGGTTTCGGGGCTTAAATTAGGCCAACAGGACAGCCCATATATACACTCACCAATATTTCCAGGAACCAGGGACCGTGTACGCACGCAAACCATAATATAAACCCATCTTCATGCGTGTGGAGGGTAGGAGTGTGTGTGTGTGTGTGTGTGCGTTTTGGCACGTGCCGTGCATGTAGACGTGTCAAGGCTCAAGTCTGAGCTTCAGAGCTGTGATATGGCAGCGGGCAATGAAAAGATATTGTGTTAAGGGCTCGGAGGACTTGGGGCTTGGCGAATGGCCCCAGCTAACACCCCACTTCCCTGTTAAGAACTAGAAAAAGCAAACCTAGCAAGGCAAGCCGCCAAGGAAGCTAGATGTGTCTCGGCCGGCACGCAGCAACACCAACAGCATCCGGCGGGCGGACCCATCTCTACAGCTGGACCTTTGGGGCCAAATGTGGCTCTTTCGTGCCGGAGGGCCTCGGGCATGCCCGAACTTACGCCTTTGGGGTTTAGGCTTTCAGGGTGCACAGGGTCGAGGGTTGAGGGTTGAGGGTTGAGGGTTTAGCTGAATGGGCTTAACAGGGTTTTAAAGACGTAGGTTTATGGAGTCTGTAGGGATTATAGGGATACGGTGAGCAAACGAGAGCGGAATATTTGGTACCGCTGCGAGACAGGCGGAGGTTCAGGTTTAGGGTTTAGGGTATGCTTTTCAATGGGGTTTAGGAGCGCATACCAGATTACATGTCGCCAGGGAAGTCGGCAGCACAGCGCAATGGAAGGGAAGAAGGACCGAACAAACCATAATAAACCCCGGCCCGACGTGCTAGAATACCAAAACCGCGCAGAACCGGTGCACAACCCACGCCGACCCGAAACCTTAAACTCCCTACCTCCCCAGACCCACTGAACTGCATAAAGCCTAAACTTAAGATTTACGTTTTGGGGCTCTTCAAGGCCCTGAATTTTAAACCTTTAAAACATGTCTCCATGCACCCGCCCCTGGGCCCAAACACGTGAAACATCGTGAAACCCAGCTGTCAGCCCCAGAGTCATCCTAGTTATCCTGGGACTTTTTGGGTTCTCAAAGAGGTCAACATAGCCCGGGAGATGCGGGATGTTGATCTTAGAGTTTTTAGGGTGTTTAATGGTGTTTAATGGTGTTTTGGCGACGAAAAGACGAAAAGACGAAAAGACGAAAAGACGAAAAGAACGAAACGTTTTCAAGTTGCAACACCTGCAACATGAGTTGTGGAGCCTAGGATGCGCAGCACTGTGACCTCAGCAGCTAGCGGCATGATAACCACTGATAGATTCCAAGAGTGCTAAAGCTGCTAAAGGCCACAAGAGCCTGGACTTGTCTGATGCGACGACCAAAGCCGCCAGGGCACAGGGTCTTGTGAAGAGCTTGACATGGTGCGGGGTCTGTGTTCACATTAGATTCTAATTGAAGGGTCTCGTGCAGAGCAAAAGACGTCTTCGAAGCCACTGCCACAGAAAATATATTCTAAAGGCAAGAAAGCTATGCCAACTATGCTACATGCGCAGCCGCATAGAGCCCTTAAGGGCTGCAACAACTACACTTGTCAGGCGCATGCTGAGCGCAACTTGCATCCCTGTCGTTGACATCGTGCAAACTCATGTCCCAAACCCGTGAGTGTTTCTGCGAATGCCCAAACAACCGTGTGTCTAACCTCGATTGCTGACAAGGTTCAGGCGGATGGGGCCTACAGTATGAGCGGTTTCGTGCCGGTGGCAGTCTGCAAGGAAAGGGTCACCGGAAGCCTGAGTTCAGGGTTGTTAGGATTGTTAGGGCTTAGGCCCAAACGACAAAATGAGCGACAAACCCAGTTCCCAGTTTTGCCGTCTCCGCGTTTCCAAGAGCAGGTCGGATGTTCCATTTGGCTTCGGGCAAGCTCATGGTTCCAGACAACCGCTGCAACCTTCCAGGGCACGCTGCGCTCAGCAGGGAGCTCGAGCTCGAGCAGGCTAGGAGCTCGAGAGGCTTTCGGCTTCAGGGCTTAGCGGTTTAGCGTTTTGAGTCGGCGAATCCTGCTCACAGGCACAAGCTCTCTCACTTGAGCGGCTAACAGAGGTTGTTTTCTTAGTAACATCTCGGGCAGAGAGGATCCTCAAGAGGGCTCCCTGAGTCTTTGGCCCAGGAAAAAGAAACCGAAGGCTGTTTTCAATGCCGCGGAGGAGACACAGAGTTCTGGGCCACTACCCAGCATCGCCCCATGAGTTGCGCAGCTCCCTGGGGTTTCGAACCAGCGGGTTTTTGGGCTCTTCCCTCACTGCAGATCTGGGAAGGACTGCCGGACTTCGAGGTTTGCGTTTCTGCACGGAGCACTCGCCCCAGCAGTGTGTGCGGGGTAACCCGGAGAGCAGACACCATCTTGCAGAAGGAGGTGCAGTGCCCCAAGAGGAGCAAGCCGATGTGCAGGTCCTGTACACGGGCAAGAGCCTGAAGCAACGGTGGCGCCTTTGCCAAACGCCCGGCCAGGGCGAAAGCCTCGCTGAAGGGGCCGCCTGACCGGAGCACCCGGAGCACCCAGCAGAGTAAAGGTGTCAGAGCATTTGGCGGGCAGTCCTGCCGGGAGGTTCGCCGGCCACGTCCGTTTTGTCAAGACATGTCTTCGTCTTGGCCAAGGCTAAGAAGCTTTAAGGCAAAGTTTAGAACGTCCCATAGATCCCAGAAGCCTGGTCCGAAGCGGCCCTCAGACCGGAGATGAGGGGCGTACCCGTACCTTTGCTCAGTTTCGTGCCTCTGGGCTTCGCACTGGTTCCGCGGGCTTGTTTTCCCTCATTCTACCGCCTGCAGGAACGCTATCGCCAATGCTCAGAGGTTGCTTCGAACTACAAGAGCTCCACTCTTAAACCCTTGAAGACGGATGCCTGAACTCAGAGTTCTACATTGGGAACTTTGTAAAGGATGCTCTCAATGGGCACGGCTCTCCAACCCCAGCCCTCACTGATGCTGGTTGCAATCCCCTGCGAAGGATCTGCGCACCCTGTGCTGGTCCGACCAAGAAGCTGCAAAAAATGTTGGAGTATCTTGCAGAAGGAGGCGCAGTGCCCCAAGAGGAGCAAGCCGATGTGCAGGTCTTGTACACGGGCAAGAGCCTGAAGCAACGGTGGCGCCTTTGCCAAACGCCCGAAAGCCTCGCTGAAGGGGCCCCCCGACCGGAGCACCCGGAGCACCCAGCAGAGTAAAGGTGCCAGAGCTGTTGATGGGCAGTCCTGCCGGGAGGGTCGCCGGCCACTTCCGTTTTGTCAAGACATGTCTTAGTCTTGGCCAAGGCTAAGAAGCTTTAAGGCAAAGTTTAGAACGCCCTATAGATCCCAGAATCCCGGTCCGAAGCGGCCCTCAGACCGGAGATGAGGGGCGTACCCGTACCTTTGCTCAGTTTCGTGCCTCTGGGCTTCGCACTGGCTCCGCGGGCTTTTTTTCCCTTATTCTACCGCCTGCAGGAACGCTATCGCCAATGCTCAGAGGTTGCTTCGAACTACAAGAGCTCCACTCTTAAACCCTTGAAGACGGATGCCTGAACTCAGAGTTCTACATTGGGAACTTTGTAAAGGATGCTCTCAATGGGCACGGCTTCCCAACCCCAGCCCTCACTGATGCTGCTTGCAATCCCCTGCGAAGGATCTGCGCACCCTGTGCTGGTCCGACCAAGAAGCTGCAAAAAATGTTGGAGTATCTTGCAGAAGGAGGCGCAGAGACCCAAGAGGAGCAAGCCGATGTGCAGGTCTTGTACACGGGCAAGAGCCTGAAGCAACGGTGGCGCCTTTGCCAAACGCCCGGCCAGGGCGAAAGCCTCGCTGAAGGGGCCCCCCGACCGGAGCACCCGGAGCACCCAGCAGAGTAAAGGTGCCAGAGCTGTTGATGGGCAGTCCTGCCGGGAGGGTCGCCGGCCACTTCCGTTTTGTCAAGACATGTCTTAGTCTTGGCCAAGGCTAAGAAGCTTTAAGGCAAAGTTTAAGGTGCCCTTCGCAGAGAAGACGGGCCAGGGAAAACCTGACATGAACAACTCTGGCCACAAGCTGACGGTAGTTGTCCGTGTCAAAATTTCGGCCTCGAAATTTAATGACTTCTGTTTCGTTGCAGGTTTTGGGGGGGCCATCCCACTGGCCAACAACAACCCCCGCTCTAACTTCCCACCATCAGAGCAAACCCACAGGCTCCGCAGCTCCATGTCCGTTTCAGCCGTTTCTGCCTCCCGACAACGGAGAGGCGTCAAAGCTTCAAAGCGTCGGGTTTTCAGCTGTCGGAGCTTTGGCGAAGAGCTACGCGAATCTGTTATGAGGCTTCCACCCTTCTTGCACTGCTCTTTTCTTCACCTGAGCCAACGGCAAAACCCAAGACTACTTAGGCGGCTTTGCAACTATCGCTATCGCCGTTGGTATTTCACCTTGTCGCCGGCTAACGTTTCTAAGTATAGGACTTCATGGGCTCATGCTTTAAGGCTCTTGGGATTGGGAATCGGATGGAGGCGGATCTTGGGGTGGGCCTTATGAATCAAGTCAATCATCAAAAACAGCTGCCCGGCAAAACCTTTTCAAGCCGGGGGTCTCTATCTGAGCCATTTTTGGCCTTGGTCTGCCAAGCCCAGTTTTGCGTCCGAATTCGTTGTCGCTTCTCGCTGCGGACACAATTGACAGCCGCGCTTGAAGAAGGGGTCTGTTGTGCCCGTCAAGAAATATTTGAGTGGCTCATGCGCTGCATCGTCATCGTTTTGGTGCTTCTCCTTATCGCAGCACAGCCAAAGCAGACATGGCCGGTATACCAGGACTTTCCACACCATGCACAATTATATACTCTTGCCCTAAAGTTCCTGACATTCTCTCCTAGTGCATGTACATTCGGAAGTTTTGCCTGTCGCTCACCTTGTCATTTTCAACTTAGGAAGCTTCCAGAAACCTGCCGCATGCTTCCGGAACGTATCCTGGTCCGAAGCGGCCCGCAGACCGGAGATGAGCGGCGTACCTGTACCTGTGCTCAGCTTCGTGCCTCGGGCTTCACACTGGCTGCGCGGCTTTTTCTCCCGTTTTCTACCGCCTGCAGGAACGCCATCGCCAATGCTCAGAAGTTGCTTCGAACGCCAAGAACTCGACTCTTACACCCTTGCAGCCGGATGCCTAAACTCAGAGTTCTACATAGGGAACTTTGGAATGGATGCTCTCAATGGGCACGGCTTCCCAACCCCACCCCTCGCTGATGCTGGTTGCAATCCCCTGCGAAGGGTCTGCGCACCCTGAGCTGGTCCGACCAAGGAGCTGCAACGAAACAATGCTTCAAAGGTACCGAAGGTCGACTCTGCACCGGGAGAAACGGAATCGCAGCCTCAAGCGCAAGCTCTGCCACCAGACTCGAAACCCTCAACCGTAAAGCAAAACTAAACCCTAAACCCTAAACCCCATAAGCCCTAAACCGAATCCACAGGAGAGGTCGACTTCAAACCGAGTGTTCCGGAATCTAGACGTGTCGCGGAATCGCAAGCTGCAATGCGATTTACATTGGCGGCGTTTGTGTGGTGGAAAGAGCACACCAGACAAGGAAGGGCTTGGTGAAAGCTCCAAGGACAAACCCTTCGGGGGCTTCGGTCGATCTCTCACGGCTTGGATTCCTGACGATGTCTGCAATTGAAGGCTGGCGGTGGATGCGCCCTGCACGTGCCTGATTCGCCTTGGCAGCGGGAGATGTCGGAAATACACGAGCAAAGTGGCAACGGTGACCCGTGAATGGGGCCGGGTGACTGCCCATCCCGAACCTGTAGAGAGGTGGCAGAGGTGCAGTGACGCTGCAAAGGGTGGCTCTTGGCCCTACTATGGCTTACGCAGCATCGACTAACTTCTGTGCGGGTTAGGACATCACAGCAAACTGGACGCCTGCCCAGCCATCCCGAGCAAGCTGCTTGCACAGAGCTACTGTACGCGATGTCATGAACGCGGTAACGGAAAGGCACTGGCAACATATGGTAATTGAAGCACCACATGCGATGACCGACATTGGCAGCACCTGCAATGTGTGCAGGGCGCTTCTGTGTGATCGGATACTCTCCTCTTTATCTCCATGCAGGCATTGTTGCGGAAAGGCTTGCAGCTTGGGGTCCTGACTTGCAAAGTGCGGGGCCGTGGCTGTCAAAACAGCACCGCGAAGACTCCGTGTCGAAACGGACTGATGGAAAGAACACACTGCTTCAGCATCACAGCCTATTATAAGGCCCTAAGGCAACCAGGCGGGTGCGGTCAGCCCTGTGCATCAGGGCTCCTCAACACACGATCCCGTCAAGCAAGATTCTCTGGTCCGTCTGGTCTCGAAGCTTTTCTTTATGACGCCTGCAAGCTGCATGCTGCGAGAACAGAGCATCAGACCGGCGATGCTTTGCCAGCATGGCCTCCCAGCAGCACGGGCAGCGGGCTGCGTGCAAACACCCAAAGCCCCTGCAGACGCTTGCCTGACGGAGGCCCGTCACGGCTGCACGCCCACAGATGCAGAGCATACCGAGCGCACCAATCGAAAACGGACCCCGGCACGCGCAAGATAATCTATCGGATGTCCTCTTGCCTCCTTGCAGGCACTGTTGCGTGAAGGCTTGCGGCTTGGGGTCCTGACTTGCAAAGTGCGGGGCCCTGGCTGTCAAAACAGCACCGCGAAGACTCCGTGTCGAAACGGACTGATGGAAAGAACACACTGCTTCAGCATCACAGCTTATTATAAGGCAACAAGGCGGGTGCGGTCAGCCCTGTGGATCAGGGCTCCTCAACACACGATCCTGCCAAGCAAGGTTCTCTGGTCTCGAAGTTTTTCTCTATCATCAATGCTTTCTCTATCATCCCTGCAAGCTTCATGCAGTGTGAGCTATGGCTGCAGGGGCTCCTCCACGTTGTTCAGCATCTCTTCTACTTTTGGAGGCTGCATAGCACTCGAGGCGCAGAATTTCGCGAATGGGGTTCGGCTCAGATACTTTGGAAAATGAGTTCCTTATCCTGCCCGTGCTATGCCACGGCCAGGCCAAAAAAAGACCCTTTCAGCGTCTCGAGGGCGCTGTTCGTCGAACTCGTGGAAGTAATTCACAGGGTTGCTTTGCTTGCGCTTGCTGTGCATGCTTTCTCCACAGTCAAGCCAGGGGCGGATGTTTCAAATACCAGCGACCGGGCTTTGCGGGCTTTGGATTTGAAGGACCGAAATTTCCACGCAGGGATCCGGAGCTTCCAAGTGGACGATCGACAGCCCTTCATTGGGGGCGCTGTCACAAGCACGTGGCAGTCTGGCGCTTGTGTCTCACAAGGGACAGGTTCTGGCAGAGGCTAGCAACCTCATGAGTACACTTCATCTTGAAAGGGCCCTGTCTTTGGCAGGTAAACTCAATTCTGGAAGCTTCCAGAACCTGGCACATGCGGAGATGACCGGCGTACCTGTACCTGTGCTCAGCCTTGCGCCTCTGCGCTTCGCACTGGCTCCGCGGGTTTTTCTCCCGTATTCTACCGTCTGCACGAACGCCATCGCCAATGCTCAGAAGTTGCTTT